TTTTCATAATCTACGTACCTACAACGTACATGTATGTAAATTATTATTATAAATTTTTTTATAACGTGTTTTATATCGTGACGCGTAAATCACGCGATAAACGAAGGTTTCTCTGATGAGGTGAATTTTAATCATGCGGACATAACTTATATATATAGAGCGCGCTTTTTGGCTTATTTGAGCTTCGAAGTTAGTGAAAATCGATTGTCCATCATACTTAATTATGCTTGAAAGCCGAGAGAATGATTTATGAGCGTGTGAGCCATTTGAGACTATGCAGGTCATATAAATGAGCAATCGATGAGCCAGTAACACTATCTAGGTTGATAGACGATCTCATCAAACGCATCCTCATTCTCGTTTAAATCATTTTCTTCCGCTTTATCGTCAATGTCATATAAAATTGCTGATATACATATTAATAACTAAAAATTAATAACTAAAAAAAATGTAATAAATGAAATAATATACTTTAGTTTATTTTATTGTTATGAATTTTAACGAAATGTGAAAGAATAAACCGATTTCATAATCAGAATGATTTCTATTACTGAATTAGCATTAGAGATACTCCAGCATTATTGAATTTTCTTTTATTATATATTACAATCTGATTCAGTATGCACTTATAACGATGTTAGCGTGCATTTAGCATATAATTCATGTTACTTTGTACTGTAGAGTTTCAGGAATAAAAGTATGCATTTATCGATAAAAGCGCGTTCTAAATATTTGTAATGGCTTTTTTTGTTAAAATAAATTTGAGATAAATTAACATAAATTTACAATCAACATAAACCATTTAATATAAATTTATTATTACGATGTCTCATTCAAAAACACGCACGCATGCACACACACACACACACACACACACACACACACACACACACACACACGAACACACACACACACACACACACACATACACACACACACGTTCTTGTATCTTTTTCTCATATATATTATTAAAAAAGAATCTTTTCTACATTATCTTTTCAATTTTGTTGATGTAATATCTTCTTACTTATTGGTTAAGTCAGCAGTTCTAAATGGCGATTAATCCAGATTTGAGAAATGTAGACTGAGATTTAATTAAGATATAAAATTAACGATATCTTTCTATTTCCATTTATAATTACGATATATTGTCTTGATAAAAACTCACTCTTGTAAAAGCGTACATTAAAGATAGTGGAAGATCCTGTAAACTGTACGAACTTGTATCTACATTAAATATATCTAATTAATGATCTTAGATCATCTGTTAGTTATATAAGTAAATAAGTACGAATAAGATTTCAATCATATATTCTCCGAAAACATTAAAATTAAATTCTTAAATCGTTCTTAAGTAGTGAAATCGTTAAAAAAGTTCTAAAATTGTTAAATAAAGAGCAGTGAATATGAAACGTAGAGAAGGAAGGAAAAAGGGGAGAGAGAGAGAGAGGGAAGAAAAGAGAGAGAGGGGGAGAGAGAGAGAGAGAGAGAGAGAGAGAGAGTCTCAATTTGCGTTCGAATACAGAAGGTTTACACTTATTTACAAATATTAAAGGACATAAAATATTTCGATTTATCTGATTTATTTAATTCTTTGTAATTGTTTATACATTAATTACACATTTGTTTATATATTTTGGCCCCTCTTTTAATATTTATTTGAGTGACCAATACGTTTTATTCAATTATTATTCAAATTGTATTAGTCATTTCCTTGACAAACTATGTTCAATATGTGATTTACATATAATCTATCCGCCATATTTTATCCGCGAATTTGAAATGTTTTACTTCAATGTATTTATAATTTTTTTGGTCCAATGTTTCAAGATGGCTACTTTCGAGTTTGAGATAAATCACCGTCTTTCTTTCGAATTTTCTGCTTAAAAAGATTATATTATATTATTTAATGTTTTAACAAATTGCACAACATCAAATATGTAAATTTTATGGTGATTATTCTTTAGACATGCAAAAGAGAAACTAATTATTGTATTTCTGAAGAGGACTCTAAAAGTGAGTCGAAACGTACATTACACAACGAATCGAAAAATTCATGAAATAAAGTTCTAAGATTAAATTTAATTTTTGCGTGCTAATTACCATGCTCTCTGGATTCTTTTCTGGTTTTAAATATGGGAGAGTCCATAAAAAAATGTAATTTTTTTTAGAGAAAACAATGGGTTCTCCAGTCTAATCGTTTCTCGAATGTAGCAAGTTGATTCTTCTATAATCAGTATGTGTCAGGAGTGCCATTGCACAAATAGAAAAGTAGAGCATAAATACTATATGTAAGCGACTCGATACCAAAAATTAAAAAGATTATAAGTATAAATTTTGCAAATTGTTTAAAAAAAGTATAAAAGACGTATCAAAAATTTAATTACGAAAAAATTCCGTTATCCTTGGCATAAATGTGAGACAGAAGTATGAGATATAAAACGAAGCCAAATGACTGACAAGGATCAGTCTTAAAAGTCTGTTCGTGTTCACTGTTCAGAACAAAAGTAGTTCAACCGTGACGCGTTATGTGTAAGGTAACCAATCAAGATCTATGATAAAGAAATATTTATTAAATTCTTGTTATTATAAATATAATTTCGTGATTTAATCATTCCGCATCCCGGAATCATCACTGGATTTCGATGTTGTGGTAGACGGCACAAGTTTAAAATATGTGCGTATGAGCTATATGCGTAGATAAATTGCAAACAGGAATATAATTATAAAACAAAGTCCTTGAGTTACTAAACAAATATACTCTCGTGCATGAAAGTTATAGACGTCTCTATACTATTTTCTTCTGGACTTTACTATTGATTACATACAGTACCCGCTAAAAGTTTCGGATCGGTTAAACATCTAGAAAAGTATTTTTTAGAAAAATGTTTTAGACAAAAATTTAGGGTTTAAAAAGATCTATTTAATGACTTATTAGTTTGACCTTAGGTGATGTCGCTAATGTCAGATCAAATCGATTTTTTTTTAATGGAAACTTCTCGAGATAAGCTATATGAATATGCAATAAAAATTAATATTTCAAACTAATAATATCATTAAATAGATATTTTTGAAGCCTATAATTTTTGTTTAAAACATTTTTCTCAACAATACATACTTTCCGAAATATTCAGCCAGCCCGAAATTTTTGGCGAACACTGTATATGAATAGATAGGACATAAAATTCAAGGAAAATCTGTTTTAAATATTTATAAATATATTCAGCTAAATGTTATTTCAGAATATATGTTCAGTGTTTTTTGTCCTTTGTTATTATTGTCGTAATTTTAAAGAATCTTGTATTTTTAAAAGTTAAAAGTACAACAAGAACGTAAAAAAAGTTGTCAAAAGAATAATTTTTCTTAAGAAATGATGTTATTACTCGACATATTACTCGAAGTATTAAACTAATAAATTAATAAATCATATCAAAATATCAAAATATTCAAGCATTTCAGAAAACTTTTATATATTGAGTTGTCCGGAAAGTTCGTGCCGCAAAAGATTTAAATTTAATAAATGTATACTAAAAAAAATCTTCTGCGTTTCAATTTTCCTTCAAAATCGGCACGAACTTTCCGGACAACCCAATATAATTGATTGTATAAAATTTATCAATTAATCTACAAGCAACAATATAATAATCACATGAAATCGTATTTATTAGATTTGTTTTTATTAGATGAAACAATGTGAATATTTTTACTTATATTACAGAACTAATACTTTAAATCTTTCTTAAAAATCTAATTTCTTTGTCTGATGTCTATCGCTTCTTTTATAATAATACATAATATATTAATATTAAACATTTTTTTAAACAGAAAGTTTTTCTAGTAGAGCTTTCATTATTCATATTTTTAATACTAAAAATTGATGTAATTTCAAAATTATATTCGTAAACAAGATGTTAAAACTAAAACATAATTTGTTGTAATAATAAATAATTTGTTGTAATATTATAATAAATACAAACATTAGCTTGTTACAATGCCAATACGTTAAGAAAATTATTTTTAATATGATACATTAATAATTATTTTCATGTAACTGACATATAATTAATTAATTCAGGATTTATTTTGAATAAAATCTGAATTATCGAAAAGCAATGACGCATGCGGAATACTTTCTTTTTTCTATTCAATTAATACGATTCTGACAAATCTCAATCCTTTCTTTTTGGATGAACGTTGTGATTTCTCTCTCTCTCTCTCTCTCTCTCTCTCTCTCTCTCTCTCTCTCTCTCTCTCGCTCTCTTTCTGCGATACGGGTACCCGTGGAATCGTGGGCAATACAGGTATTCATTTCGATGTGGATATTCGCTATATACTACAGATATCTAAATATAATTTTGTTAATTTTAAAAGCATTTTAGAACTGTTTATATTAATTTTCATTTTGTTTGTAATTAAATAGTTTGAATTGAAGATGTACTGG